CAGGGAGGGGGGTGAGAAAGCTGCCGTGCGCGGCGGGCCAAAAGAAGGGTGCAGGCGGAAGGCCGAGAGGGAGAAGGCAAGAGGAAGGGGGATAGAATGAAGGGACTGGTGGAGGAGGAGCGGTTGGTGAGTAAGGGGGGAGGAGAAGGGAGCTGGCTAGGTGAGGGGAGGGAGGAAGGGAAAGGAAAAGATTGGGAAGGAAAGGCTGGGGCGTGCGAAAGCGGAAAGTCGGAAAGGTGGTGCTGCGGCGGGGGGGGGAAGAAGCTGGTGGAGAGGCGAGGGAAAGGGGCGCAAAGGGGAAACACAGGCCTGGTTGCGGGGCAAGCGGAAAGGGAGCGAGCGGGGATAGAAAAAGCTGGTCGCTAGCTTTCCTCCCTTTTCTTCCACCAAAAGCTCTCTTCCCCGTCCTCCTTCTCCCACCAAGCTTTCCCTTTCCTCCCCCTCCTTCTCCCCTTCCTGCTTTCTTCCACCTAAGGCGCTTCTCCCCCTTCCCTCCTTCTTCACCAGCCTTCCCTGTTCTCCCCCTTTTCCCTTCCTTTCCCCTTCCTGGCTTCTTCCCACCCGCAGCTTTCTCCCCTTCCTCCTTCTCCCCACAGCCCTTTCCCTTCTCCCCCCTCCTCTCTTTTCCCCCTGTTCCTTGCCTTGTCTCTTCACCCAAGCTTCATCCCCCGTCCTTCCTTCTCCCACCAGCCCTTTACCCCCGTCCTTCCTATCTCCAACACCCCTTCTCCCTTCCTCCTTTCCTCGCCTTGTCCTTCCACCAGCTTCTCCCCTTTCCTTCTCCCACCACCTTCCTTCTTCCCCCTTCTCCTGTCCTTTCCACAAAGGTTCTCCCCCTACCTCCTTTCTTCTGCAAACAACCTTTTCTCCCACTTTTCTTACATTCCCCTCTCCTTTCTGCAGCCAGCCGGCTTTTCTTCCCTTTCTTTCTTCCAAACCGTCCTTCCTTTCTTCCACCAGCGGCGCCTTGCTCCCTTCCTCTCCCACCCACCTCTTTTCCTCCCCCTTTTTCCCATCCTTTTCTCCCCCAACCAGCTTTCTTACCCCCTCCTCCTTCGTCAAAAACACCTTTCTCCCTCTTTCTTCCCCCTCCCTCCTTACGTCCAACAAGTTCTCCCTTCCTTTCCCTTCGTCCCACCACCCTTCTTTCCTTTCTCCCCTTCCTTTCTTTTTCCACCAGGCTTCGTTCCCCTTCTCCTCCTTCTCCACCACCTTCTTCCCCTTCCTCCTTTCTCCACCCAGCTTCTCCCCTTTTCCTTCCTTCGTCCACCAGCTTCTTTTCCCTTCTCCCCCCTTCCCCCTCTCACCAAGCTTCTTGTTCCCTTTTTCCTCCTTCTCCCACCAACCCTTTCTTGCCTTCTTTTTCCCCTCCTTTCCCTTTTTCTCACCAGCTTTTCTCCCTTTTCCTCCCTTCTTCCACCACCTTGCTCCCACCTTCCTTCCTTGCTCCACCAGCGCGTCTTCCCCTTTTCCGTTCCTTCTCCAACAGCTTCTTCCCCTTCTCCCCTTCCTCATTATCCTAAGGCCATATTGCAGGGGGTCGCGGGCCCATTACGGGGCCCGCGTGCGCTTATTAAAAAGCCGATATTGGAATTCTTGTAATCCACACTGGGGCGGCCGCCGGTGCGTCAATTTACTGCTAATAGTCTCGAGCCCAGGTGCGCTATGTTAGTGTTTCAAGGGGGGGACAGGTGGTAACAGGTGCCAAAACAGCGCCACTTCCAATTTGGGAACCGTCTCAAACAAATCAATGGTAATTAAACACTAAAATGTATACTACTATCAAAGTAGTGTGAATGGTTTCTCTACTCTTATTTCGCCTATCTATTTGTCGAGTAAACTTGCTGTAAAGTGCCGTTTAAATGCTTCATCTGCAACAGCACAAAGTAGTGATAGTACACCGCACGTACGCCCTGGCCCTGTGCCCACAAACAAACACTGCCCACCTGGCTACTACATGGTATCGAACATAAAGATTGCGCACAACTCTTTCACGATGCGATTTCGACAAAAAACGAATGCTTTTCTCACCTTTCGCGTATTCTATGGCGGAACCTGAAAAAAGAAGACACCAGTGGGCGCTTACACTGACGATTCGAGCAATTTACAGCAGAAACGGTAAGCTGAGCTGACAGCACACAGCACAGCAGTTTTTCACAGTTAGCAGAGTACAGCCGAACATCCGGGAACCTTCGCTGTGGAACTTGCTTCCCCAAAATGGCGGTTGTGGCGACGCCATGACCTACTACGCCTATGATTGGAGCAGTGGTCTATCTTCTGCCTACGCGCACTCTAGAATCGTCCTACTGCTAATAAAACTGCCATCAGAGGGCGTACATTGGAGGACGCCTTGCAGACGTGCCACCAACCTATGCAACAACGTAACTTTCACTTTCAGTTATGTTGTGATTGCGTGATTGTGAACGAACTGTTTACTGTTGTGATTGTTGTGTTTATAAAAGTAAAATACATTTTACAAGTGTTGTAGCCATAGGATAGTATTACTGGGTGCAAGGTAGTAGCAGAACATGGGGTTCCCAATAAGAAACCATGTCATTTTAGGCCCTTACATCAAATATTAACATATAAATACTCCATTAATAATACGCGTCTAGCGGTTATAATATGTGTTTAGGTTTAGGGGTTAGGCACATTGCGTTTTATTGGGCACCCATGCTTCTCTATTCCTTTGGCCGTATTACTTGTTTATATGGTTATAAATTACATTTTCGCTGTTATTTCAGTTAGGAACGACTTGATCTAGTCTAGCCCAAGGAGCTAGAAATAAGTAAGTAAATATAAGTTCATTATAAACTATTAACAAAGGAGAGGAAGGCGATCTGTGGCTCGTGTGCTTTTCGCCTCAAAAACGACGCCATCTTTATGCGCACCATAATCAGGCTGAATCACCTTGTGCAGACCGAACCCCAGAGACAATAGAACACTAATCTGTTCCTAGGCCAAATAATGACCAAATATGCGCAAAGTTTGGGCTCAGGGATAGAGAAGATGTTCAGTCCTATCTTATCAACTAACATCATCCTATCCATCCTTGAACCAAGATTTGGGCCAGATATGGCGGCGCTTCCTCTCCTTGTATATATTTAGCTCCTTGGTCTAGCCCAAGCGAGCCCTAAATATAACAAGGGAGAGCTTAAGCGCCGCCATATGCTGGCCCAATCTTTGCGAACAGACCACTACTTAAATCCTCCATAGGATCCTATACTTAAGAATTGAATTTCAGGCAGCTGAAAAATAGTTATTTCGATCGTTGTTCTGCCGAGTGGCAATATTAAAGCTAGGTAGCCATGTACTTTCAGCTGTGCCCACCATTGTACAGTTATGACATCATGTTGTCCGGGCGTTTTTAAAAAAATATTAGCAAAGTTTACTAACCGACACCACATTTGCTGCCTGCAAAAAACCAGGTTCGCCGCAGTTCGAATGGGGGCCATACATTGAAAGAATGTTGTTTTTAAATTACAGTAACCATCCACCCATACTCCATTCTGCATGTCATTGGCCACACACGATAGCCAGCCTAAATTAATTGCAACCACAAAAACATCAGTCCAGCTTTTTACGTTGCACGAGCTGCCGGTTCCCTCCCGAGTTGCGCCGGTCGGCCGATGACGCGTCACATCCTCTAACCTAACAGGGTAATGAACCGGAAGTGATTTAATAGTGGTCACGTGTCATTTGGTCATATTTGGCCTAGAACAGATTAGTGTTCTATTGTCTCTGGGTTCGGGTCTGCACAGCCATTTCAGCTGATTATGGTCCATAGATGGCGTCTTTGAGGCGAAAAGCACACAGCCAATCCGCTTCCTCTCCTTGTTATATTTAGCTCCTTGGTCTAGCCTAGGCATGGCAAACACTAGATACGGCCATGTAACCTAAACACAGTATAGGGTTACAACGCGAGCCTATTCTTTTCTTTGGAGGAACCCCTGAGTGAATCACTCAGGGCGGTTTGCTGGTGCGTTTTCAGAGACTAGAACTTCCAAACTGGGTTTATTCTAAACACGAACCTTTCTCCGCTATCCTGGGACTTAGTTAGTTACTATGTATCGATCACAATATACTCTGTATTAAACTATTATAACCTGTTACAAAAATTCATAGTGACGAGCGGCGATACTTTCAGCGCCATTTCTGTTGACCTGTGATGTACAGATTCCCAATGCGTATAGCGTTCGTCTAACTTTGTCATGACGTCACGACTGACAGCAGGCATCCCATGATACATTCGATCTTGGAGTCGAAGTTAGCCGAGCGCTATGCGCATTGGGAATCTGTACGTCACAGGTCAACAGAAATGGCGCTGGAAGTATCGCCGCTCGTCACTTCAAATTTTTGTAACAGGTTATAATAGTTTAATACCGAGTATTGTGATACATAGTAAGTCCCAGGATAGCGGAGAAAGGTCCGTGTTTAGAATAAACCCAGTTTGAAAGTTCTAGTCTCGAAAAACGCACCATGAAACCGCCCTGAGTGAATCATTCAGGGGCTCCTCCAAAGAAAATAATAGGCTCGCGTTGTAACCCTACTCGTGTGTTGGGTTACATATTGTATCTATAGTAGTACTAGTAGTAGTAATAGTAGTAGTAATAGTATGGCTCTAGTACTACATAGCCTTTCGCTCCGCCGTAGGCGTGCGGCGGAGCGAAGGACGGAAGGGCTATGGTACTACTACTAGAGCTATACCGTCTCTTTGCGGAGTGGCTGACTTGAAGACTGTACAGTCAATTCGCCCTGGGTGTCACTTTCCCCGGGCGTAGATGGACTGTGCCGTTACATGGCAGCACTAGTCACTTCGTACGCTTCAAAGTCTAAATCTTCCACAGAAAGATTCCACAGTCATACTTCCGTGCTAGACATGGCCTTATTTCCCTAACCCTAACCCTAACCCTGACCCTGACCCTAACCCTAATCCTAACACTAGTGCTGCCACATCACGTGACTGTCCATCTACGCCCGTGGGAAAGTCACTCTCATTCGCCCTCCCTCGCTGCATTTATTTAAAAATTCGTGACATTTATGTAACCATGTAAATTTTTGAAAGCGTAAATAAATTTTGAAATCTAAAAAAAAAATCTATACCTAGTACAGCTGTACCTAAACTGTCACTGGTACAGTGCCAGTGCTAGTGGTAGGCACTCGATGCAACACACTGAACCAAGGTCTATTTTTAGAAATTAACACAATGCATGCGCACTTCCGTTTCTTGTCCAGAGATAAGAGAAATTCCAGCAGTTCGAAGCTCGTTAGTACCAGTAAAGTCACGACAGGACAAGCACTGGAGTTGACAAGCACACCCACAAAAAACAAAATTGAAAATTGATTTATAAAAATAGACCTCGGTTCAGTGTGTTACATCGAGTGGCTACCACCTAGACTGCACTGCATTGCAAGTTACGTTCTCGCTTCTCACTTCATGAGAAGGTCACAAGCGAATGTAGCAACCAAACCTTGGTTGGAGCTAACCAAACGATGTAGCAAAACGTACCAATACCTACCTTCTGATGGCTCTTGCCTGTTCTCTGTACCTCCACAGCATTAGTTACCATGGCATTCTCTCCCTCTCACTCCCCCAATCTCTCTCTCACCGTCTCGCTCTTTCTCGCTCTCGCTATATCTCTCTCCTTCTTCTGTCTATTAGATACACAAACACAGAGAGGTAGAGGGAAAAGCATGGAGGGGGTGCGAGAGACAGAGGGAGAGAGAGATGTGTTGCATTTATAATTTGGTTTTATGACATAAAAAATGCACAATTACATTATTTTTCGTATATACCCTGTTTTCAGATAAATGGCTCTACCAATCCAGATTATAAAGACTGTGACTTCTAACACTATCACATGGAACTCCTTCTTTCTGCGCCATAATTCAAATAGGGCGTCTATCAGTATGTATCTATTAATATCAACAAGAGTAAAATAATGAGTAAGGTATTATATAAGTGTTATTTTCTCATTCTTGATGTCAAGTATTTCATTTATTTCAGAAATACATAGTAAACTGAAGATCCTGCCTGCTTGTTCAGAATGTATAGTGAAAAATTTTATCTTAATTCTTATGGTCATCGGGCAGATAGCATCATCTTTCAAAAGTGTCAATGGCTGCACATAATTACTGAACATGCAATGTATGATCACTATTATTTACGTTTGCACTACTACTTGCCTGGTAGAAACACTTCTGTTCAGGGATTAGTGAATAAACACTTCCTATAAAGTGTGTTATTCACCATGAATGTATTTGCATCATGGAAATTGCATGTCTTACCAGGTGCATAAAAAGTCCCATAATGAAACTCATTACTGTTAATATTTCTCACTTCTCATACTGCCTGCCTTGGATAGCCAATATAAGCAAACGATTCTACTAGGGGTAGTAGTGTGACATGATTAATCCATTTGCAAGTTTTCTTTGTCAATCATTTCAGCTAAAATTGGAAGACTGACTTATGCCAGACTATATCCAACAATGCTAGTAAATCCGGATGGATCAACAGTCAGGATAAAGTATCGGGAACCTAGAAAAATCATAAAGGTATTGATGGTCATGTAAAGTCTGCTTTATAACTTTGACGTTTTAGATCGAATGTCTAGTGTTATTGTTTTGCCTTAGAAAGATATTAAGAAGTTTATACAGCTATACTGAATACCTGTTTCAAGTTGGTGTATAATCATGTATGACGTCATTTGCTAGAGGTTATCCTGTAATTACATATTCCTATATATCATGAAAACATAAAATCTTAGTTTAATTAAGATATTTTAGAATGTTACTTACAATGTCAAGACCGGCCTAGATTTTTGCATATTCATTATATTTAGAAAATTGAGTTTTAGGCTATATTTTTAGCTCACCTTGACATCGTCAAGATGAGCTATTGCCATGGGTCGTCGTCCGTCTTACGTCCGTCCGTTTTTCCGTCAACATTTGGCTACAATCAACGATAACTCAGGAACCGTTTGACCCACATGTTTGAAATTGGGTATAGTTGTTACTGCTATGGGAGAGGTTTGAACATCCTATTTTGGAGCACACCAGTTGACGTACTTTCGAGCCACGGCAATTTTTTGGCAAAAATGGAAATTGCCATTAGTCAGTTCAGGTTCAACGGATTTTGCTCATTTTTGGTATGTGAATGAATAAGGGCTGGTCCCAAAACGTATTTCAGGGGTTTTGATATTTAAAAAAAAGTATGCAAATTATGTAGGTTTTGGCAATTATATAGCATATTATATAGACACGCAGATAACAGTCTGTGGTGTCACACTCGTCTGGTTCGTTTTACAAGATTTCATTGACAACATCTTTAATGCAAAATTGGCATTTCCTCTCCACTCTGCCAATAAAACGTCTATATTAGAGTTTAAGTTTTACAAAACATGTCGGAACGCAGCATAACCTATTTATTTCGAACGCCATTCCGCTAAGCAAACATCAAAAGCGCGGTATAGCGCCATTCTACCGTCACAAATTGTGATTCATTTTGGTTTATAAATTATTATTGCGATATACAGATGGCAACCGTGTGCTACCGCCTAGAAAAAACTCATACGAAGTAAACGCTTCCATGCACCCAATTAAACCTTTGACAAAAGTTGTGTTATGGGCAGACACTATTGTCACGTCGGTATATAGCAGCTACGTGGAATAAGCGTATCCTCTCAATCTTACACGTTACACATCGGGAGCATCGCTTTTAGGCAGTGCCTAAATATGAATATTATAAAAACGTTACCGCCTTGCTAGCTCCAAGAAATTGTCTTACTAGGGTTATTTTTTTGTGCGGGGGGGGGTTGCGATTTGTAGTACATATGCTTACTAGAAAGTAGTTATTTTATGCTAAGAACAATGAAGGAATGAATTAGAAGTCTAATTAATACCTTTAGTATAGTACCACTAAATACTGGTTAAAACTGTGGTGGCTAAACTGCCCCCCCCCCCACTCGGTGCACTTGTTCCCATTCACTCATTTGTGCCCTTTTTGTGGTGAGCTACAGTGTCATTGACACTTATATTTCAGTTGCCATTGGACCTGTCTACACTCACGGAAGAGGAACGGAGAGCTAGGATAGCAAAGAGAAAACCTAAAGAGAAGGTAGTCATAGAAGAAGAAATTGATGACAACTTCACTGTAGATGCCTATAGTCACTTGTGGAAAAAGTCCAAATAAAACCCTTGCATTAAAGGTTTGTTGTCATTCATGATAAAAAGATGCCAGTAGAAACATCAAGTTAATATTTATTATGACAGTCTCTGATATGTGCTTAATGAGCCATTGACATCCTATAACTGTAGTGACAAAGTATGATATGAAGGTACACAACATAGGTAATTTTGTGTCCTGTATTCAAGAGAAGATATTGCTTCTAATGCACTGAGTTTGAGTAGGAGTTCATGTGCTGTAAATATGCAAAATTGGAAAAGCTTGAGCATCTGTCAATAATAATTGTATGAAGAATTAAAAATATTAGTTAAATTCCTCTATTCATCTATTTCGTCATCTGTTTTGCCATTTTGTTGCGGGTAGACACGATATTTATCATACATATGCCTCTGTATAGATATAGACATTTGACAATTAACAAAGAATAAAAAAGAAATGAGGGTAAAGCCCGCCGCACACGCTGTGGAACTTGCTGCGCCATCGTCCACACGTGGACGATGGCGCAGCAAAATCCCTCGATCTGGGTCGTGTGGAAAATATCAAACGTGTTTGATATTTTCTTTCACGTGTGGAAGTTTGAACAGCGTGTGCGGAGTGGCTGTGTAAATTTCCACACGCGATTCGCATTGTTCGCTTGATTGTTCGCTTGGATGCATTGTATTTGTTTCTCAGCTCGCATATCAGCATATGCAATTACATATGCGTGCTGCCTGATATGCGAGCTGAGAAAAAAATACAATGCATCCAAGCGGACAATTAAGTGAACAATGCGAATTGCGTGTGGAAGGCTCCGCACACGCTGTTCAAACTTTCACACGTGGAAGAAAATAATTATGAAACGTGTGTTATTTTTCACACGACGCAGATCGAGGGATTTTGCATCCGCACACGCTGTGGAAGTTGCTGCGCCATCGTCCAGGCTTAAGAAACTAACGCTGTATGTAAAAGACGAACTGAATTTCAAATTCACCGCTGGAAATAGCGAGTATACAGCTATGTAAATGAGTACCTTATCGAAGTAAATGTGCCATATTGGCTTGTAAGCGATTAACATTAATAATGTATAGAGAGGAAAGAGGATCAATAGTGATACTATAGAATGAAAAGTTATTTTATATGCCATGGTAATTAATTCCTGCCCACACAAGTAAGTATTAGATTAATAATTTTTAGCTCATCTGACGAAGTCAGATGCAGCTTGTAGAATCGCATGATCGTCCGTGCGTCCGTCCGTGCGTGCGTTCGTCCGTCAACAGTTGGGCACAAATCTAATCGGCTCGACGTACGGTCACGATATTCCGGACGTGGGGGGGGGGAAGGTAATCCGAAAACGAGTTGAGATGTCGAAGCTGGGGGTCAAAGGTCAAGGGTCAAGAGGTGTAAAAGAAGGGGGAACATTCCCTCCTTAACTTAGGTATAGGGAGGAAATGCAGAGGACATGGTCTGACGGAGCGATTGGAAAACTTTTTTGTTTCAGCGGTGACCTAGCAT